TGTGTGTGTGTGTGTGCGTGTGCGTGCGTGCGTGCGTGTGAGTGTGTGTGTGTGTGTGTTTGTGTGTGTGTGATTACAGTAATGGATGTACAGCAGCAGTAATAATCATGCATGGCGCCTCATTCAGCTGCTGATCAAATAATTTATGGACTGATTGACATGTATTTAAAGGGTTAGTTCAACCACAGTAGGCCTTTGTTCACCACCCAGAGCCATGTGAGACACTTTTTTTATGGATGGGCGATTTTTATTTAACTTCTTTTGGACTGAAGCACTGCAACACCCGCTGAGTGACATTAAACAAACTGAAAGATCAAAGACAAGTTTTAATATAACTCTGTTATATTTAATTTTATTTAGATAATTTCACTTTAAAGCATTTGATTCTGTGTGATAAAGGACAGAAATCCGTATTGTAAAGGAACATTGCACAAGATGGTTAAAACGATCCGACCTTATTTATCCCTTAAGGTGCATATAGGAAATATTTTCACATGCATACTTATAATTATTATTATTATTTTTTTTTTAAGAGCCACGGAATTTGAAAAGTTCTACAGAACCAGATGATTCACATGGTGAAGATCCTACTTCATGCTGTTATATGTTTTTATGTGTTTGTGTCTAGGGAACAGAGAACAGTCTTTGAAAACGGCATTTAAGGCGTAACTGTTCCAGAGACACAAAGTAAATGAGGTTAGTCTCTTACTAACTCTCTCTGAAATTTTGGACTGAAGCACTGCAACACCCGCTGAGTGACATTAAACAAACTGAAAGATCAAAGACAAGTTTTAATATAACTCTGTTATATTTAATTTTATTTAGATAATTTCACTTTAAAGCATTTGATTCTGTGTGATAAAGGACAGAAATCCGGATTGTAAAGGAACATTGCACAAGATGGTTAAAACGATCCGACCTTATTTAACCCTTAAGGTGCATATAGGAAATATTTTCACATGCATACTTATAATTATTATTATTTTTTTTTTTTTTAAGAGCCACGGAATTTGAAAAGTTCTACAGAACCAGATGATTCACATGGTGAAGATCCTACTTCATGCTGTTATATGTTTTTATGTGTTTGTGTCTAGGGAACAGAGAACAGTCTTTGAAAACGGCATTTAAGGCGTAACTGTTCCAGAGACACAAAGTAAATGAGGTTAGTCTCTTACTAACTCTCTCTGAAAGCGACAACACTGAAGTGCACTTCATATTTCTTAATGTCCAGCACGCTCTCCTCGATTATTGTGTTCATTTGCTCTCTCTTCTCACCTGTCTGATCAAGATTAAAGCTCTCATCTGCATCTGAGATGGATGGATCCATTAGGCCTTTAACGGGTTTTAAAGATTGCTAAATCACACTGATGGGCCAATCAGCGCTTCGTCAACCAAACCCTTAATGACGTATTCATTCACTTGTACTGCCTAGAATATAATCAATTTCACAAAATCTTTTCATTTGAAATAATTAAATAATTTGCATAAATGTTGCATATTCTCTTTTAATCATTGTAATTGTAATATTTGATTTAATTGCATAAAACTGCTTATTTTATTTTTAGTTTCTTTTCTAAAATGTATTTATTTGTAATTTTCAGTAATATAATATTTAATTAAAAATGATCAATGTTGACAGCTTTAGCTTTATCATACTGAGCCAATCAATCTCTCAGCCCTGAAATACACACGTAAATACATCTAGATGTGCGGATGTGTGTGCAAATGCTGTTTGAAGATTAATGGGGTTCAACTAATTTCCACTGATTTTCATAATATGGACAAAAAATACGTTCTCCAAATATCTTAATTTTGAAGAAAGAAGGTCATACAGGACTGAGAACGATATAAGTGTGAGAAAACGATGCTAAAAATGTTTCTGAGTGAACTGTTCCTTTAAGATTAAACACGTATTTGCTTCTAGTTGAGTTCCTTTCGTTCTAAATGAAATAAGTACTTTGAATGTTAAAACGTTCTGTCTGAAGCTCAAATGCTTTAATAGTGTTTGGTTCTCAGCTCCAGTCCAACAGAAGAGCAGCGGCTAATATTACAGCACAATGAAAGCAAAATGTTATATATGAGACTGAATTATACAATTGTAATTTAATCACATAACGTACAGTGCGTGCATAATTATTATGCAAGTTGATATTCTGATCCTATTTTTTTTCCCCAAGCACATTTTATCAATTCCAAACCACATCAATCTTCATAACTATAATTTTGAAGAATTTATCTTCCAGAATCTGGCAGTAAGTTTTGGGAGCTCATTTTTCTTGCAAACAGTGGTACAAGAGGATGTGAAGCTGGTCCTTTAAGAGTAAAAAATTGTGAAATATTATTCTAATCTAAAACAGCTGTTTTCTGTGTGAATATGTGTTAAACTGTAATGTATTTCTGTGATGCGCAGCTGTATTTTCAGCATCATTCCTCCAGTCTTCAGTGTCACATGATCTTCAGAAATCAGTATAATATGCTGATCTGCTGCTCCAGAAACATTTCTGATTATTATCAATGTTGAACACAGTCGTGCTGCACAATATTTCTGTGGAAACTGTGATGCATTTTATTTTTCAGGATTCACAGATGAATAGAAAGTTCAAAAGAACAGCATCTATTTTAAATAGAAATCTTTGTAACATTATAAATGTCTTCACTGTCACTTTTGATCAATTTAATGCGTCCCTGATTAATAAAATTATTTTTATGTATATATATATATATATATTTTTTTTTTTGACTTGCTCCAAACTATGATTTCCACAAAATCAGTTTTCCTCAGTGATAGTGACAGTGAGCTAGCGTGTTGTGTCTGGTTTTCCAGTGGACTGACTGCTGTCTGTGAGATTGGATCGGTCCTGCTGAGAAACACTCTTGCTCTCCTCTCCTCTCACCATATGTTCCTCCTGCTTCTCATTAAACTCACAGACAGAAACAGCTTTCATCTCAAAACTTCTTTACATTTATTTTCTTCCAGCTATAGGAGCAAAAGCACAGAGACGATGTCAGCAAAACAGAAAGTACTTCATGAAAACTTTCCACCGATTTCAACTTAAAACCTCAACAGTTCAGTTCAGTTGCTGCTTTATTATTTTTTAAAGTCTAATCAACTTACTTGCACAAGTTATTTCAACTTAAAATACATTAAACCCACTTTTTCTTTTTTTAAATCCAGATTTTTTTTTTTTACAGTTAAGCAAATTTCTAGTTTCTTTATTATTTTCAAAGATAGCCAAAGATAGGTC